GCTTGCCAGGCAGGCGCTTTGCCGCTGAGCTAAATCCCCAGCCCCAACAAAGTAAAAATTCTAAAGTTCCAAATAATGAAACATTAATGTGCCTATAAAACGGGTATTGTAATAATCCTTTCCTAATACTGCTTTGTGCCATCGTGTGTAAAATACATACTGCACACCCAGATGCACAGCAATTACCCAGGTCATTTTAATAATTATGAATAAGCAACTGTGAGATGATTTTTACACTGCTGCAGTTCCTGTGACTTGCTTCCAGCAGAAGTAATGCATCCTTACTTTGTGTTGCATTACTTCTGTAAATGAGAAACAATTACGAGAACCTTTGTTCTAAAATGGTATTTTACACTCAACTTTTAGAAGGACAAATGACAAAATAAACAAATAAATGATAATATACATTTATTTCTTTAAAATTTCAGGTGATTTCCCAATGTCAGGAGAGTTGTTTCTTGTACATACCTTCTGCTGCTACATTCATTTACAATTGTTCAATAGAACACAGAAGGCATGTGAAATTCCCCATACCCCCAAATCCCTCATTAACTTATCTCTGGCATGCTGTACTTTTGAAGGCAGAAGTATTTTTTTTGGTAATGGTTACTACTGAATGTTTGCTACTTAAATCTTTAGTTAAGCAGAACCACACATCCCATAGGTATTCCCATAACATGAGACATACATATAAGGACATGGTACCCGAGACAAAGAAACTCCCCTTTTCTTCAACTTCAAGAGATCTCAGCCATCAACACATCTCACTACCTTCTTGAAAATGTGTAATGAAATAGTACTTTTGATGAAAAGTTTTTATTTCCTACTTAGAAAAAAATTCTTTGATATTTAAAAGAATTTTTTTGTCATCTTCCACAAATATCTGATATACTTTAAACTTAATTACAGAAGTTTTTTTAAATAACATAGTCACTTTCAAGGGAAAAGTTATTTATATTTTAAAAACCTGCTGTATATAAAAGTGTATAAATGTCACTCTACCATATATACCTCCCACCTCCTCCTAAAATAGGTGTGCTGGTCACATTCATGAGGTCACAAATATTAAACATACTGTATTCCTTGAATAGAACTGCGTGATAGAAAGCATATTTTTGGCAGGAGTGATTCTATTAGATAGCTTTATATTTTCAAAGTAGCTGTTAGAAATGTTAGTAACCATGTTCCGTTTCTTGCTGTATAGGATGATCACAAGGTTGAAGCAGTATCTTTAAATGATCATCAGTCACCAGCGTCAGCTCAGTCTTGGGACTCATCAGCAGCACCCTAGACAGGCAGGCAGGTATGGTAACATAGCTGAATGATAAAGAATCCAGGCTTATAACTTTAGAGACTTCGTATGTATCACATTATTGTGAATTTATACAAAATCCATTTAGTTTGAAAACTATACTATGTAATGCATTACTATACTATTACAAAATACCCTTCTCTGTAAACCTACTGAAAATTTTCTTGGGCATTTATTAGGCCTATTTTTAGCATTATTCCAAATGATAGCAAGCAGATATTTTAAAATTTCAAATATAAAGCCAGTTTTCCTAATATTCTGAAATCACTTACTTGAGTTGACAGGAATTCTGCAGGAATATTGACCCACTTCATCTAACCTTCAGAAGTTAAAATAAAGAAACCAAACTGGCTACGTATAACAAGAATCTTTCAATTCCAAAACTAGTGAAAGACCACGAGTCACTGATCTACGAAATGATACAGGAAGCAGCTGAAACAGCTGCATTTTTTACACAATTAAACCCAGCTCTCTTTTCTTCCAAGGTGATAAAACAGTGGCAAATCTGCCTTTAAGTCACAGAGAGATTTAAATAAACATTTTTTCTGGTTCTCCTAAGAAACTAAAATGTTTCTTATCTTACAATCATAAATATTCATGACACTCAAACTGTTTTTCCTGTGGCCAGTTATTTATGTTTGAGTTGAGATTGTATGGTAGGTACTATTTAGCCAAGATGAATTATAATGTGAAGTTAAGTATAAAATATTATTTCTGGTATTTGTCCATCCTCTATTGAAGTGCCGTTATTATTGCCAGGGGAACTAAAGAAGAAGAAAACGGTCTTGCTGGCAGCAGGTGTCTCGTGCACAATTTTCTTCAGCCCTTTTGTCCCATAGTGGGAATCTGGCCCCTAAACAGAAACAAAGGTTTGTTAGTAGTCTTCATTTTAAGCATTTGAGTTAATGTGATGTAATTAGATTAAAAGTCTATTATATTTATTACAGCTCTTATATAAAATTATACACTAAATCATTTCATCAAAAATGAAATTTTTGCTAAGGAGCTAATGAATAAGTAAAAATACACGATGTAGAGCTCAGCCATTAGAGAATATTGAAGAAGTTTTAAGGACAGTTATTTTATAAACATTCAACATACTACTTAAACAAAGGGTCCCTTCAGCAAAACCCTTCAGAGTTGAGCAGTGCTAAGATGCACTGCCTTTTTTTTTTGGTTTTGGTTTTTTTCCGGTACTGGGAATCAAACTCACGACTTTGCGCTTGCCAGGCAGGTGCTGTGCCGCTGAGCTAAATCCCCAGCCCCAGCACTGCTTTTCTTAATGCAGCCTCCTTCCCCATCCTTTCTAAAAAGCTTAACTACAAGTGACTTGTACGCTTCTAAAACATGCTTTATGCAACACTGAAGGGGAAACTATGGCCTGGGCTTGGCAGCACACTCCTGTGATCCTGCCACCCAGGGAGGCTGAGGTAGGAAGATACAAGTTCAAGCCCAGCCTGATTAACTTAGTGACTTAGTACAACCCTGCCTCAAAATAAAAAAAATATCAAAAAGACAAAGACTGGGGATGTAGCTCAATTCCCAGCACACACATGCAGATGCATACACACACACAAACAGGAAACCACGGGCCCAATGTGCACAGCCCTGGGACACTCTGTACGTCTTACTTTGAGCGTTGCACATGCTGTGTAGCACACATTGGGCAGGATCTCTATAGGCTCCTTAAACATGACTCTGAATGTGTTAGCAGTCCCGTCACAACTAAACCCAGTATCATTTTGTCCCAGGGTCTGTTTTTTTTCATATTCGATGATCTGTAATTTTTAAAAGAGAAGACACATTTAAGTTAAACCAACTGAAATAAACTTCTGCAGCGAAGAATACGAGGCTCTTACAACTAGCACAATAGACTACTACACCTCTCATTTTTCTCTTTTTATTTCTAACCATCAAAGATAGCTTCAGGCATGCTGCCAGAAAACGGCCATTTCTCACTTGTCACAGTGAGGGTGGGGAAGATGTCGAGACCTGGTGCTGCAGAAAGGGGAGTTGCTGTGGTAGAGATTCCAGGTCGTGCATATTTTCCATGTCTAAAGGAAGTGGGCCTTTACTCCTTGCTAGCCTATGTCTTGAGGCTAGGAAAACTCTTCATCATATTTCTTGTGTTTCAATGTTATTTACTGGAACTATAAATGAGCTTAAAGCAGTATGTTTGTGAATGTTCAAAATATACAGTTTGTCTTTTCACTTTAGTTCTCTCCCCACTGGATGAGCACCCAGGCCTCCAGGAGCTTCTGGACATTTCCATTCTGGGATAATGGAAGTTGACATGGAAGAACAGGGTCATTAAATGACACAGATGCTGCGGCCCTAGCAGTTCGCCATCTCTCCCTATGATCCTGAGAGCTAGTGCTAGTGGATGTGGTTTGACAAGGGCTTTCCAAATCTTCAAGACCAGTGTGTCCACCCTGCTAGAATGAGACCTTGGCACTTTCATCTAACACTGGGGACTGCTCAGTCTTAAGAAGGACATGACTCTCCTTTAGGCATAAGGAAAAGTGGCTCTCCAGAAACAAGCAGATGGAGACAAGGAACTTTCCCAACAAAAGGCCATCCCGGCAATGCCCAAACCCACTACTTCAATGGTGCTAGCTTTACTTTCTCTATCTCATTTCTCTGGGGTAAGGACCCAGGCAGACATTATGGAAAAGCCCTCTAGACACTTCTAACATATACTCCTGTTTTAGCTTAGGGCTGGCTTCACACAGCCTGCATGGTGCTGATGATTCTAAAGATGTCAAGCTACCTTAAAAAATGGAGCCTGGAGAGATTTTACATAAAAACCTTCACTTCTGGCTTCTTGGACATCCTTAGCCTTTTATTATCACACTGTAACTACTGGCAAGAGCTAAGGAATATCTGCCCTTTAAATAGCCCATAGCCCACAGCTCCTCTCCCCCACCCCAGTTGTCTCTTATACCAGGCCCTTGGTCTCTAAAACATCTGCCCACGCCCTGGCCAGCATTGGAGTTGGCCACTTTGGACACAACGGAACAGGTGGTAGTGACAGACAGCTTATCTGGAATAGGCCAGTCTCATGCCTCACACAATGTATATCACCCATTACAACTCTTAAAACAAAAGGTGGGGAGCAGGGGCTAGGGAATGTAGCTTAGGTCAAGGGCCCTGGGTTTAATCGCCAGTACTACCCCAAAAAGAATATCCAATGATTTTTAAGTACAGAGACACCTCAGCAAACCTTTAAGAGCGTGAAAGATTCTCACAATGAGTTCCTACTATACTTTATTTGCTTTATACACTTCAGCAGACTACGTAATCTATAGACCTGCTCGGGGCCACAGCCTCACTGGGAGTCTCTATGATGATGGAACCCCATTCTTCCTTCATTGCCTTTATATATCACAGAAGACACCAGATTCCTTTGTGCACAAACTGGGGAAGAGGAGCAGGGTTATATATAGGTAGATTAAAACAATGAAATCAGTTAGGTATTATGGTGTATCCCTGTAATACCAGCATTCTGGGAAGTTTAAGCAGGAAGATCACAAGTTCAGGAATGTGTTGAGACCCTGTCTCAAAATAAAAAGTAAAAAAAAAATTTAAAGGGCTCGGATATAGCTCAGTCTGAAGTATGACCAAAAATAAATTCAAGGGCAGTTGTAACAGTTGATACATTGTGTTAACCTGAGACGTTTAGACGCTTAAGTAAGTAATTCAGCAGTTCTACATCCTTCAGTGTAGAGGACATACCCCAGGGAGGCTGTTTACCCTCTGGGATGTTGTACTGTTGATTCACTGTGTCAACTTGCGAAGTTCAGAAGTTTAACTAACTGGGCAGGGGGCCAGGGTCCTAAACCTGTTAATACTGTGAGCCTGTGCAAAGGAAGGTAGGCAGATGGTGTGAGTACTATACCCCCTGCAGGGCAGGTAGCCTGCTTACAATGTAAGGGAGGAAAAGAGGCTTGTTCCCCACCTCTAGCTCTTGCTGCCTTCTGCCACCATGAACTCTTGCCCCTCTGCCATGCCACCCTGCCTTGGAGCCAGCTGATAATGGACTGAAACCTTCACAAACTGTGAGCTAAATAAACTTTTCCTTCCTTAATTTGCGTGTTGGGTATTTTGTCCAGCAACTAGAGAAAGTAACTAAGACAACAGTCTTGCTAAAGTTGCCCAGGCTGGGCTCTAATTTGCATTTCTCCTGCCCCAGCCTCCCAAAGTGCTGGGACTATAGGTGCGTGCTACCTGACCCAGCTTACTTTTTGAGCCTGTTTAAAAATCTTTCAAATAAGCAAGTTCAGGTGAATTAAAAACCTACTAGTAATATTTATAATGGAACTTTCCAAATGGTTTATAAGAACAACCAAGTGGCATGAATGACAACAAATCTATCACCTGAATCTCGCTATATACCTCAGTGGAATGGTCTGACAATGAGCACACTGTACTCTTTGTCAGTACAGCCAGTAATGCAATTCTTCCACGGGAGCAAGGCTCTCCTGAGATGGTGAGGTATCATTTTTAGCTGGCATCAAAACAGATCTCTGAATCAGTATATTCACAAAGTATAAAACTAGTACTTTAACACATTCCCACCATGCATGACTTTCCCATTGGGCAGCACATGCAGGGATCACTAGGGGGTCAGAGCTTTACTATTAAAAATGATATACTTAGTAACATTTTAGAGATAGCAGGGGTTTTTTGGTTTATAAACCAAAGTCTTACTCATTTACCTCCTTTTCTCATGTTTTTCATGTATTAATTTACTTATAAAAGATACACACAACAATTCATATAGCTTGCAAATAAAAATACAATACAGATATCTTTTCAAAAATAATTCTACTAATTAAGGTCTGCAATTAAGAGCTGTGAACACTGGTTTGACAGAAAAGGGAAGGTGGAAGGAGAGAGGTGTTTGACTTCTGCTCTTGTTAGGGAACCTGTGCCCCATGAAAGGAGGAGGTGCCGGAGATCTAAAGTGTGAGAAGACACAGGGCAAGGGGCAAGGTGAAGCGAGGTGGGTCTGGTCAGACATTCCCAGGCTGAGAAAGATTCCCAGCAGTTTCAAGTAAGTAAACAGTTTCAAGGTCCTAAGTTCAAAGTACTAGGAAAAGGCAAAAGGTAACACACAGCAGAGGTTTCCTGCACAAAGAGAACTCCCTCTATGCTAATGCTTCCGGCAAGGACCTCAATGTTTTAAAACCAGGTTGCTTAAAACCTTAATAAAGAATCTCTAGGCTTAAAATGCTATGAAGAGCCTGATTCCTCTGACAATTATACTGAAATGTGGATTTATATCAAGACAATATTTTATTGTAGTCTTACACATTTGTTTATAAATAATGGAGAAAAAAGTGTACCTGTATATTCACTTGATAATCTGTGGGACCATGGATAGATCCATATAAGCCAAACCCAACTATGGAGATTCTTCTATTAACTGTGAACCTGACAGAAAGAAGCCAAAAATAAAACAACAAATAATCCACAAATGTTCATATTCTGCAGGTTTGTAATTTTACAAAGTATTACCTGGATCCAATTCTGCTTATAAAAAGGAAAATTATCATAGATCAAACATACATCCTTAGAAATATCATCTTGCTTATAAAAACTTTTCTTTCTAAAGTAAATGTGACATTAATGGGACCTTAAGTTGTGTAATATAAAAGGAATTTAACCTAAATACCCATTTTGTAAGTTCCTTTTTTATTTTTCTAGTACTAGGAATGGACCCAGGGCTTCATGCACGCTGGCAACACTCTACCCACTTTTGCTGTCATGATAACTGTAGTGCTATTACTAGCCCAGAAACATTTGCATATCTCTTTTCAGAACATAGCAGTGTCAGCCATTAGAACTGAAGCTCATTATCCCAAACCATGACAATTCCTAAGTTCAACAAATACTTACTGAGGACCTATCATGTCTTGGTACTGGTCTTGCACTGGGGAACTAATGGTCAGCGAGACAGAGTTTTTATCCCTACTGAGCAGGTTAGCTTAATGGCAAACACTGATAAGAAACCAAAAAGGAATAAATAATAATTGTGATAAGAACTGTGGAGAAAGGAGACTGCTCAAATGATGACTCCTGGTGGAACAGGGCCAGGGACATGACCTAACTCATACACTTAAACTTAACTAAGGATTACATAATGAGAATAATGAACAAGAATAGTGACCTATCTTACTTCGTTTTATAAATGTATAAAAACTGACATTAAACATCCATAGAACCCCCAAGACTAATTAACAGATAATCTGTGATGCAAAACAAGTAATTCTCAATGTTTTCAGTCATAGTTTCAATTATTATTGCAACTACTAGCATACCACCACCACTTAATGAGTACTTCCTTAAGGGCTAAGCCCTGAGCTTCAGTTCTTAAATGAATTGTTTCTTTAATCATTGTAGCAGCCCTATAAAGTAGTTAAATATACTATTTTTATTATCCCATTTTTATAGCTAAAAAAACAAGTTTTAGCTGGGTGTGGTGTTGCATGCCTGTAGCCCTAGCTACTCAGGAAGCTAAGGTGGAAGGTTCACCGGCACCTACACATTTGAGACCTGCCTGAGGATATATAGTGACCCTATGACACGGGGGAAGGGAAGGAGGGAGAAAGTGGCAGGGGGAGGAAAAGAGAAGGAAGGGGAGGAGGAAGAAGAGAAAAAGTAGAAAGAAACTGAGGTTTAGAAGAATAAAATTACCTCAGAAAGTGTGGGAGGGCTGGGACACAACTTCAGCTCTGTGGATCAAAGGCCCATGCTCTTTAACCCCCATCTTACACACCTCATTACAGCAAGAGGCCCATGTTATAATTTTGCTAATATATTACTTATAACACTTTATTATATAAGTACACTGCCTTTAAAAAGCAGAAAATGGAGCAAGGGTGTATTCAGTGGTGCAATATGTGTTTAGCATGCATCAGGGCCTGGGTTCAATCCCCAGCACCAAAACAGAACACTCCAGAACATGTAACTAAACAAATGAATACAAGGTCAAAGCATCCATAAACTGAGTTAGTCCTGTCAACCTTGTTTTTACTTTTCTATGAACATATATGTACACTAAGTCATACCGTGTGTGTGTGTATATATCTATATATCTATATCTATATCTATATATATTCGCTATACCTAACCAAGTGTGATGGTGCTTGGTGAGGTATAGTGAATCAGTATATATACTGATATCATGCTTTGCTTGTCTGCAGTTTTTTTATCCCTTGTGGGATAATCTTGGTTATTTTCCAGGTGTTTTTGTTTTGGAAACAGGATCTAGCCCTGTAGTTCACATACCTCAATTCACTATGTACCCCAGAGTGGCCTCCAACTCAGTGATCCTCCTGGCCTCAGCCTCCTGAGTGCTAGGATGACAGGTGCTCACCATCATGTTTGGCTTGTCTGCAGTTTTTATATGATAATGCCATGGTTTAGAATGAAATCATTTTCTAGCCAGGCATGGTGGCACATGCCTGTAATTCCAGCACTTGGGAGGCTGAGGCAGGAGGATTGTTGCAAGTTTGAGACCAGCCTTGGCTACAAAGTGAGCTCTAGGCCAAAACTGCATAGTGAGACCCTGTCTCAAAAAAAAAAAAAAGGAAATAATTTTCTTGCAGTAAATTTCTGTAAGTAGAACTGTTGATAAAAAGGAAAGGAACACTCTTACAGCTTCGAAGATTAACATGTCCTTCTCCTACAGATTCACAGGGTGTAATGGCGCATTTCCACAGGCTAAGGCACGGAGAGTCTGGCAAATTCCAAGTTACCCTAGGGTAGCTAAGTTCAAGGCAACCTGGAGTTGGGAGACCCTGTCTCAAAAAATGGGGATGGCAGGGTGGGGAACAGATCATTTTTGTCTCAATCATGAGTATTTTAATTTGCTTTTGAGCAACAGACGATTGAAAAGTTCCATTTATATTTACCAATGAGGTAAATAAAGCATGTGCTCATATGCTCACTGGCCACTAGATTTTCTCATTAATCAAATACCTTTCATGTTCTTATTTCAACTGGTGAGTTTGTCTATTTAACGTAGCCTTGAAAGAGTATGTTGAATACAGATGATGCTTACTCATTGTTCATTGTTTGTATGTTAAAAAAGTTTCACATCTGTCATCTACCTTTTAACTTTATGGTGATTCTGGACATAACATTTTTCAATTATATGTAGCTAAATTATGATCTATACCAAGTTTTAGAGAGGCCCACCTCATCCTGAGGGTAAAGAAACATTCACTGATTCCAGGTTTCATAGTTTTAATTTGTATGAACATGATCAGTAGGGCTCTTTCTCCGTAGTTAATTCTTCCCTCATTGTAATCATGTTCTGAATGCTCATTTATGTTGAGCTGGTGTCTGACCTTTAATAGTTAATACCTTTAATACCTTTCCATGTTTTGTCTGTATCACTTTGTCTCTTTTGGAGACAATCTTATTAAGTTGCCTAGGCTGGCCTCAAATTTTCTAATCTGCTTCAGCTTTCTAAAGTAGCTGGGATTACAGATGTGCGCCACAGCATCAGACTATGTACTACTCTTCTTTTGTAGTACTACCCTGGCCTGGCATAGCCTAGGCAAGTGTTCTTCCACTGTGCTGCATGCCAGCCCAGAACCACTCTTTTTAAAAAAGAATTTACTCTTCTATATTAACTTTGAAGTAACATCTCCAGGCCACTCCTCTCTACCAAAAACTTTGCTAAGACTTTGTAAAGAAACTGGTGAACACACATAGGTAATTAGGGAGACACCATCCTTACCAAACCCTGCTCCAGCTAGAGCTCTCCAGTCCTTCCTAAAGCCACTTGCTGTAGGCTTCCATTTAATCCTACTGCTTTGTCATCCGTCATGGATGACGCGGATGGCTTCTTCATGCTATTTCAGTAACACTCGATGTGACAAGTAGTATATATTATTACTATGCTAATACAACAATATGCTACATTCAAATGTTATGTAATAGTCATTTGATGTTGTAACCAAACTTTCTACATTTAAAGTTTATTTTTGTGGAGAAATATACATGTGTATATGCGTATGTTATGCACCATTTTAACCATTTCTAAGTGTAAAGTACAAGGGCATTAAATACATTGACATCATTGTGCAATTGTAAACACTATTCATGCCTAAAACTAAGCTCTGACAGCAAACAGAAACAATTCTCAAGTATACTTGATGCAAGCATAAACTATTTTCTTCAATAACTTTTTGAGTTGATCCTAAGGTTTAATCAGGTAGAACAACTGTTCCCAAAGAAGCTCCACCATCAGGGAGGAATCCTCCATCCTCACAAAGGTTCAGGAGCACCACTGGGTAAGAGCCACGGGTAGGAGGTTTCCGGCAGTGCACACCACAGTCTCTCATAGCAGTCCTAGTCAGGTGTTGGTGACTGTCATGCCAGACTCACGTAGGAGGAAAATTTGCTCGTAAGTTTTTGGGATTTTTTTTTTTTTTTGTCTTTTTAAGACAGGGATTCACTATGTGGTCCAGGCTGGCCTTGAACTCACTTTGTAGTTCAGGCTGGCCTCAAACTTGCAACGATCCTCCTCCCTCAGCCTCCGAGTGCTAGGATTACAGGCGTGCAATACCATATCTGACTTGTTTATAAGTTTTGAAACTGACTTCATTTTATGTATAGATCAAAAATTTTAATAAATTTAAATGTTTACTGGTTTTTCATGGAAGAGGCAATTAACACATACAGTTAGTTCTTGTTTTATGTGGTAATTATACTCTACAAAGTTGCTGCATACAGACAACGAGCAAATAGGGAATTACCACAAACATACATATGCAGGTATGTACCATAAAAGTGTATGCACACCTCCTCACATAGATTATAAACTTAAATCCTAAAAACAACATGTCCTAGTATATTGTATTTGCTTTATTTTACAAAAGAAACAGGAATTTAGCAATAGCCTCAAGTGTCTTGCATGAGGCTGCCCCACCAACAAGTATCACAGCTGGAGTCCAACTGGCTTAAGGACCAGAGTTCCCTGCACCACCACCACCACCATCACTACCACCTCCCTGCTGCCCCCACTTCCTCCATCTCTGTAGCAGAGCTGAATAAGGCAGGGCCTCCATTTGCCTGGGGACATGCCGGTGTGACAACTAAAGTCAGTGGCTGAAAGGGACTAAGAAAGTCCCTACGTACGTACTGATTTTGGAGTTACAAATAAATTCCAGCCAGCAGGCAAGTTCACAAATACAGAAACATGAATGAACAGGATTGATTCAACTGTTTTATCTGGAAACGATCACATAACACGACTGTACCCTGCAGTCAAAGCTGTGTCATGCTGACATGGCTACTGTATCAGGCTACTTCCATTTGTCCTCTCGTGCTATCCTGCTTAATGTCTACATACTGAAGTATGCACTTATATACTTACTTGTAGTATCAGTTACACTTATTTCTCCTTTAAAACTAGACCATTTGCCAAATAACAATATACTGTTAAAAAAGAGCAAATTGGGTTTAATGGACTGGGAAATTACTAATGTACATACCATCTATGAATAATAAAACAAGGCCTCTTCCAATATTCAAGGCTCTAATTCCTTTATTTTTTTACGACTATCACTGAGAACTAGAGTAACACTGTTGTAAAACAGAGAAGACAGTAGGTATCCCTAATTTGAGGTTTCAAAGATTATCATATTAAAGAATTATTTTAATCTATTAATAGCTACATCTAGCATAAAGGTGAAATTTTATCAAGTCTTCTTGATTTCTATTGAAATCAAACTGTTTTTCTTTTCAACTATTTTTTAACATTGAGCCATTTTTCCATCTTTCAAATAAACTATTTGCTCATATAGTATTATTCCCCTATGGTACTGCTACATTCAATGTGCCACATATTAATGTTGAGTTTTTCCTTTATAATGTAAATGAGGCTAATCTATTTTTCTGTCCTGTTAGACTGTGCGATATAGCTTGTGCATCCTTCAGTAACTAACCAAGAAGTATTTCCTTCTTTTAATGCTCAAGGAAACTGTGTGTTCCTTGAATATTTGATTAAAACTCACCTGTAAAAACCACCTGGCGAAGGGACAGTTCTTTGATAACTTTTAATTCCTTCCATGGTAATTGGTCTATTCAGGCTTTCCTCTTCAGTCAATTTTGATAATTTATATTTGCCTATAAAATGATCCATTCCATCAAGATGTTCAATTTATTAGCACAGATTAAACCCAGAATTAAACTCTCAGCATATGCTTATATTCCCATTTGGATTTCTAAATGTGATCTTTTTTATTACACTTGCCACAAGTTTATTTTATTCATCTTTTTAAGGAACCAGCTTATGGATCTATCAGCTCTACTATTTTTATTCTACTCACTTTTGTAATTACCTCTTTCTTTTCTCTTTCATTAGGGTTCTGGCTCTTTAGATGTCTATTTCCTAGCTATGATGATTGAATGCCTAGTCATTTACTTCTCCTCTATTTACTAAACTGTTACTTTCTGTGTGCAGCTTTCACTTCATCCTGTAAGTTCTCACATATAGTGTCCTCACTGTGAGTGATTAACAGTTTACAAATGCACTTTATGTTCCCATTTTAAGGGCTCGGGGATGTGATTCAGTGGTAGAGAATTTGCCTGGCACATGTGAAGCCCTAAGTTAGATCTTCAGTACAGTGTGGGGGGTGGGGTGAGGCTAAAAGTAAGCTTTCATCTTAACCCAAGTTTATACTAGTCCCCCCTCCTCAACTGGAGCCCTATTTAACAAAGTTGTTATTAATGACTAGTATTATACTAAAGTGCTGTTAAATAACTGAAAATCCAAAAGGCATGTTTTATGAAAACGAGAACTTACTTTATTTTGACATTTAACCTTAAGAGATACAGTACAGCAAAGATAAAATCTTTAGCAAGGTTGTATGTATGCATGTATTTTTCATAAAATTTGATTTCTTTTTTGCCTTTTTTGAGATAGAGTCTCACTATGTAGTTCAGGCTAGCTCTGAACTCACGATATAGCCCTGAGCTGGCCTCAAGTTCAAGGTGATGCTCCTGCCTTAGCCTCCCAACTGCTGGAGATTACAGGTGTGTAGCACTATGCCCAGCTATGAATCTTGTTTTTTTCCTAAAGCCTTTATACATGCATATTGAGATATTTTCCACACAGCATCTATTCAAAGAAAAAACTTAACATTTAGCTTAGTAAAGTGAAACTGACTAAATTATAGCCTTAAGCCTGCAAAAGCAGTATGTGATTAGCTAGGACTAGAACCAAACAGATTTCTTGTAACAGGGCCCCACCCAGTCTTTCTGCCTTTTCTTATTTCCTAAGAGGTCACCCTCACAATTCAGTGAGATGAGGGTGTCTGTAACTTCTTCCTTGCTATAGTAACTTAAAAATGTATGAAGCAAAGAAAGTGTAAGGTCAGATCTTGCTTAGTCAATTCCTGCAGTCTGAGGACAGGCTGGTGGCTAAGTATGAGGATGAGTGCCACCTCTGCCCTCCAGCCCAACCCAGTGTGGACTGGGTCAGACAGCTACCTGATTCGGTCGCTGGTCCCACTGTAGCCCCAGCGGCTTTCCACCTGCTGGAACCTGTTGATGCAGCACTCCTTGCCCCGCAAGCAGCACCGTGGGCGGTCAATGTACTCCACGCGGGGCTTAGGGTTGACAGTGAAATGAAGAAAGAGGTTCACCACTTCACGATCTGACAAAATGCCAGACTGAGCAGGACCTGCAAAACATAACTATAATCCTCAGTGAAAGCAATCTGAGTTCAAACTACTATTCCACTTAATGAGGAAAACTCAAATTGGAAGATGTAAATACAACGAGAGAAATCTTTTTTTTTTTTTTTTTTGTCTTTTTGAGACAGGATCATACTATGCAATTACGGTTGCTCTTGAGCTCACTTTATAGCCCAGGCTGGTCTCAAACTTGCAACAATCCTCCTGCCTCAGCCTCTTGAGTGCTGGGATTACAGGTGTGCACTACCACGCCCGGTGAGAAATCTGAACATATATAATTTCAGTGTGTAAGTGAAGTTTCAGTAGGTCTATTTGAATGAATAGACCTCAATGCATATCAATGGTAAAATCATTAGTAAGCCAAAGCTTAGAGAAAATCCTGAGTTACAGAAACCTCTCTGGATCTTTCTATCAACTGATCTGCTCTGAGTGTTCAGCAGAGAGGAGCCATCCCCTACGGTGGAACCATTCACAAAGGTGGCCAGAGTTCTCCTCCTAACACCTATGACCCAAGCAATGGAATATCTTTAGAGATGGTAACAGACAGAGAATATTGCTTTATTTCAGAGCGGTAAGATGTTAGCACGTATCAGAAGCCTGTAAGTCTAGAATAACTGCAGAAGCAGCATACTGTATATATCTTTTTCCCATTCACTGTTCCAGAAGAGAAAAACACAAGTACCTTAAACTTAATCCATTCTGTTTCTCATAAAAGACACCAGAAGATCCCTTCTAAGGCTACTAAAAGCAACCAAAGTAAGAGACTTCAAAACACCAGAAATGTGGTTTAGAAAGCTTTACTAAAAGTTAGATTAAAAAATTTAAATATTATAAAATCTATCAGCCTATTAAATATGGCTCAAGGTCCACCACTTGTTGTCTCTAGATGAGGAAACATCATAACGAAGAAAAACTATAACCACAAACTAAAAACCTGTATGTTTGCCAAAAAATAAATAAATAAATAAAACCTGAAACTACGTAAAATTGAAAAAGAGATGAGGTTAAAAACTCATCTTTCTCAGAATGATAAGTACTAAGACAAAAGAATTAAAATGCGTAAGGCGATTAAAGTGTGTGATAAAAAGGGAAGACCAGGGCCAGGGATATAGCTCAGTGGCACAGCACCTGCCTAGCAAGCACAAGGTCCTGAGTTTGATTCCCAGTACAAAAAAAAAAGAGAAGACGAACATGCAGTAACCACTGGTCCTGAAGAAATGACAGCAATTCAAGCCCATAATGAGAGAGAATGTCCTCTAGAGTTGAGAAGTCTTCAATCCATGAAAAACATGTTATTTATCTGAAGAAAGTAAACAATGCAACTCCAGCCAACAGAGAGCGGTGAATCAAAATAAAGACCCCTAGAAGGTACGTCACGTGAGAGGGTGCACACAGCACATCATCAACAAACTGCTAAAAACCAAAGGTAATGCGAAATCTTAAAAGCACAAACGCATACACTGCATCTAAAGAAGCAATAATTATTATTCGGGAGGCTGAGATGTGACAGGTATTCAATAAAAAACCAGCTAGCTTCTTTTTCTCTTTGACTCAGGGAGACTATTAAAATAAGCTAGGCGTAGCTGGGTGTGGTGGCACACGTCTGTAATCCCAGCACTCCGCAGGCTGAGGCAGGAGAATTGTTTTGAGTTTGAGGCCAGCCTGGGCTACAAAGTGAGTTCAAAGCCAGCCTGAACTGCACAGCAAGACCCTGTCTCAAAAAGACAAAAAAAAAAGCTAGGTGTGGTGGCACACACATGTAACCCCAGCCCGCAGGAAGCTGAGGCAAAGGATCAATGCAAGTTTGAGGCCAGCCTGGCTACACAGTTAAGTTCAAGGATAGTGTGGACTACATAGTGAGACCCTGTCTCAAAAAATACAAACAAGTTTTAAGTAGACTTTAGTGAAGTTAATCTTACCTGCTGCAAACTCCTCAATTGTCATCAGTGGGAATCGGATTAAAGGAAGTGCTTTTCCTAGAACTTTCTGTTTGTTTCCAAAAGTCACTGGCAGTTGCTGTCTCTGACATTCTGCTTCTGCCCAGCGTACAACAGCTCCAAAAAGTCGACTTTCTCGAATGCTAAGTGTGTCTCTTTCTAGAACTGCACAGAGTGTGTCTGTAGATACAAGGTAAAAAATAGATCAAATTAGGTATACTTTGTTCTTTGACAAATTAATATTCATAGACATGCTTATATTAAATTTTCAAATCTCAATAAGAAATAGGTTTAACACTTTATAGTTTATACTCTGAAATATTAAAGAACTAAAAGAATTAAAACTCCAAAGTGTTTAAAAAAAATTAATGTAGTTAACATTCAATTTCTTACCATAAATACAAGTGTTCCCTTATATTTTCATGCTACTTATTAAATAAACTCAAACATCTACAGTAAGATCAGTAACAGCCCACAAAAAAGGTTAATCACATAAATTTATAAAGTCTACACATCACAGTTCATCCACTTGTTCAGCACTATGTGCCAGGTACTATTCTAGGCACTGAGTTATCATTCAACTAAAAGATAAAAGCTCTTGCCCTCATGGAACTCACATCCTAATGCAGTGAAACTGACTGATTTAAACATAGCGAGGGGCCAGGGATACAGCTCAGTGGCATGGTACCTGCCTTGCAAGTGTGAGGTCCTGAGTTTGATTCCCAGCATGAAAAAAATATAAAATTAAATTAAATTAAATTAAAAGAAATGAAATTAAATAAACATAGGTAAATCATAATATGCTAGGTGATATCTGTGGGTAAAATACCAGGCTAGGAGAGTGGGAAGCGCAACAGCAAATGCTTCGGAAAGTGGCAAGAATGATGGGATGTGTGTGTTCATCAAAGTGAGGGGGTGCATTTTGAGGGGGATGAATGGCAATGTGTCTTTCACTGTAATAAATATTAACCACTCACTGTATTTTTTCACAGTACATACAGTGTACTGTGAAAGAAGACTCGATGTGCTTTCTAATGAGACTGGACATGGGGTATGTCAAAAAGAGTCAAAAGAGAGGACAGTGACAAAGTAAGCATTGGAGGAAGTGGCATTAACTGAGCCGGGAATGACTACAGGAAGAATCAATGTGTTTGGTGGGGAAGGATGTGAAGTGTAATTTTTAACATACAACACTATTTGTAACATACAACAATTGAAAGCCTTCTATGACATCTAGTTAAAATGTCACAGCTGCACCCAGGTCCTTATTCTGACTCTTTTCCTCCCATCATGGGCAAAGTTAAGTAAGTTCAGTCACTTCTAAGCAATAGCGGCCAAGAAGCAGTAAGGTCAGAAGAAAAAGAGGCTGCACAGGACAAAACAACAGAAAGAAACGATAAGCTATCACCTAGCAGGCACAAAGAGGAAATATGTGAAAAGCAGACCGAAGTACTAAAAACCACAGAAGCCCAAAGTCTCACACAAAAAGAGATTTTTAAAAAAAAGTATTTCAGAGCCCCTCTCCTTCACTCTACAGTTGAGTTCAGTAACTGATACTTATAATAATGATCATTAATAATCACAAGAATCCTAATTTTACTCATATCTCTGGTTTAACAAAATCAGGTAAAGCAAAGTATTTTAGGTATCTTTCTCAAATGGCTAAAATAATATTTTGATTTTACAAAAGTATTAAATGCATGAGAAAATTATCTACATAGACCCTTACTCTAAAGAACTTAGATAAAATAGCACAAGTATAAAATACACAGTACTCAGACTTTAAAGAATATACTACATACAGTAGAAATCAACTAAAATATTAAATATGATTAAATTATCCAGAAATATCAAAGAAAATTCTATCAAAAAATATTCCACTCACTGCAATGGTCTACACACATCTGTCCTGAGAGCCAAATATTTGCCGAATATCAAAGACAGCTAATATTCACGAGGTATAGTGGGGCACACTTGCAATCTTGGCACTCTGGGAGGCCGAGGCAGACAGATCACAAGTATGAGTTGAGCCTGGGAAAATGAGCAAGACGCTATCTCAAGATAAAAAGGAAAAAAGGACTGGGGATGTAGGTCAGTGCAAAGGCCTTGAGTTTAATCCTCAGTACTAAAAAAATTTTAAAAATAAAAAAAAGAAAGCTAGTGTAGCTAGTATTTTAAAAAAAATCAGTCCCTAGAACACAGCAGGAGTTCAATAATGTTAAAAATAAATTGGTTAAACTTAATTTTTAAAAATCAAACTTTTCTTTCTTCTGATGTAGCTGACTAGGTGAGTACAAACCAAGGCCTTATGAAGCGTTTTCACAGTTAAATTAAATGAAAATTAATATACTATACCTCAGTCCTTGCTGGATTAAGAATATACAATGATCATAATATTTAATCATTCAACAGAAAAACTGAAGACTTCCCATTTACATGTTTCTATTTTGTTAATAACTTGAATAAAGATAAACATATAGTAAACTTAAAATCTTTTTACATATGCTTATGAACTGTCCTTGAAATATTGTCAATTCATTTTGTTAGATTACTGTGATAAATTACCCTCTTCCTTTACAAAAAAACAGTGAGAGAAACATCATCTCTCCTTCCATCCAAATCCTAAAAGGGAAAAGTCTGCAGATCCAAGACAGTGATAGAAGAGCTCCTGAACCCAGCTCCTTCCTTCTCGGCTCCTAGAAATCTCTGCAATTCTCAATTTTTATCAGGTGCATTTAAGGCAAAATGGCCCATGGGATGGAAATAGGTAGACATGTGGGTCTTCTATTGGCAGATGTGTTAAATTACAGCTGAGAGACTAACAAAGATCATAAAAACACAAGACTGTGTTTCATAAACATAACACAATGCTGGATTGTAATATAAGAAACTGTTAGCCAATTCAAATCAACAAATATTTATAGTGTCTCTCTAACTCAGGCAAAGTACCTACATTTCAAGATTCCTGGGCTCCAATGGCATGAATAATGTTACAGCTATTTATAAAACAATTTCCAGGTCTAAGTCCCACAGATGTAAGCAGTCTTATTTCATAGGAGAGTAGATGAAGAACAAAGAAGCACTTGATAGCCCCTGAAGGAAGGGAATTAGGATTAGCAATACTGTATGAATCACCTGGGCAGTGCCTGGGCTCTCAGATTCACTAGATGCCGCCAGCAGAGCTGGGAGGGACTCAGAGAGTCCCTGTCCTTCAGTGTAACACAAGCAGCAAAGCAACCTCCAGGGCACTATATAATTGGCAGGTAAACTCACAACAGCATGTTGTATGATTACAACAGAGGGACACACAAGTGTCATGGGAGAGTGGGATGTCAGCTCTCAAGAAATGAGTCACTTCAGTGGTATGACTCGAGACAAGACATTATGTTCTAAAATGACTACCTGGGCTGACTGAACGAGAACTATAAAAGTGGGACAACAAAGCATCATTCCAGGCAGCCAGGCAGTCTGCTGGTTAACAAGTATTAACTGAATGTGTACCATGTTCTGCTGCTTTCAGGGCCAGAGATACAGTAGTCCATAAGACAAAGGATCTGTTTTCAAGGAGTATGGAGTCTAGGAGGGGAATATAGACAATCAGTGTAAAGACAAAGACAAATACCTAGATAAGACTTTCAGAAAGTAGTGCATGTTATAAGGAAAATAAATCAGAGAAATGGAACAAGGACTGTTTGGGTATCTACTTCAATTAGGTAGGTCTGAGGTAGCCTGTCTCAGGCCTCATTTAACCTGTGAGCTCAGTGATGAAAAGCAGGAAGCCTTACAAACAAGGTCTCATTTAATTTGAGATCTGAGTGACTAGAAACAGTATTCTAACCACAAGGAAGAGCAAATACAAAGGCCTGAAAGATAATAATCCTGGCCAGTGCATATGGCATGTGAATGAGGGAGAGAAAAGCAGGAGACAGTCAAATGCAGGTAGTGACTGCTAGCTGTTTATCAAAATTCTGTTTTCTCTTCTTCCTGGGATGTGACTAGTATGTACTGCCTACCTTCCCCAAAGTTAGATGGGATCTTGCAAGTGATTTCTGGACAATGAAATAGAGGCCAAAATAAAGGCGCTATTTCGGGAGGAAGGCTTTTAATATGTAGGCGTTTTCCCTGCCCACTTTACCCATCTGTCAGGAATATACAAACAATACTCAGGCTCCAGGAAATGGCACAGCTACAAGGAAGAGCTATCCCCTAACTATGATGCTCCCTTGAACTGTTAACTGATTATCAAATAAATTTACTTTTGTGTTTGAGGCAGTATGCACTTTGGGCTCCTTCTGTTACCACAGCCAAGCTAAGTCTGCCCTGACTAATAGAAGGCCCAATCATGGAGGGCCCTGTAAGCTTTGCAAACAGTTTGAATTTTATTCTAATTGTAATGGAAGCAAGAAAGTGATCCAAGCTGACTTTTTATTTCTACAGGTCATCCTAACTACTATGCAGATAATGGACTGTGTGGGGCACTACAGTGGACAGAAGGTGGGACATAGGAGACCACAGAGCTCTCCAGGAGAGAGCGAACAGAGGCGTAATAGGAAAGGTAAGAAACAGGCAGACTTCCGATCTACTCTGAAAGCAGACGTGAGCACCGCTGATAGACTGTGTGGTGCAGAAGAGAAGAATCAATAGTAACTTCTGAGTTTTTAGCAATCAGGTTCAGGCTGGTACCAAGAATTTTAAAAGGCTGAAAAAAACAGAAGAAATCTAACAGAGTGAAGAGACTCAATGGTCCTCTTTTAACTGTTTTGTTTCAGAGGCCTGCAAAATCTCCAAATAAAAATGTCAAAATAGTTGGGTATGTGAGATTAGATCCCAGAAGGGAATGTATTCAACGGTAAGGATTCAACATCCACACTTTGAGTTCATCAACACAAAGATAATATCTGAAGCCACCAACCTGGGTTGGCACTCCCTACTCAGCCCCCAAGGCTGTCATTAGATGGTCCCCTCCTCCACATACTTCTTCATGTGCTCCCACTGGCCTCAAACACCCTCTCCTCTTTACCATCCAAACACATCCATTTGGTAAGGCTCAGATTAGAACTTCCTCTGTCAAGACTTTCCCAATGCTACCCCGACTTGAGATAATCCCATTTTCTGGAGTTGCACAGTAATTATTTTCTAATTTAGAAAAGGCAAAACCACATTTTGTTCTAGGCCATCTCTGCTATCAGTGGAAATTTCAATTTTCACAGATTTGTTCCTTGATTCTTTTATTAGGTGCTTCTTTAACAAATCATGTTTTACTCTTCTTTAAATTTCCTATAGGGTCCTAATACAAGGTCATGCATATAGTGAGCATTCTGATTTGACATCTTTTAAAACACAGGGCCAGGCATGGGAATACATACCTGTAATTTCAGCATTCTAGGAGGCAGAGGCAGGAAGAGCACAAATTTGAGCCTAGCCATGGCAACTTACCAACTTACCAAGACCAAAACATGAAATAAAAAGGGTTGGGGGATGTAGCTCAGTGTGACAGCCCTAGGTTCAACCCCAGTAAATATAAATAAAGAAAAACAATGAGGTAGTTAAGACTTTTAGGAATATTTTCCCCAAATGAAAGGAAGCAAAACCATTAAAAAGGTAGGTGTTATGGTTTATATCTAGATAGTTCTCCAAAGCCTCATGTGCTTTGGGGCTTTGGGGAGGTGACTGGATCATGGAGGTGTGATACTGAACAGTGGATTAGTCCACTGGTGAGTTTATGGCTGGATGTGGTGCTGGGAGGTGAAGCCTGGTGGAAGAGGTGGGTCATCTTGGGTGTGGCTTGGAAGAACGTATCTTCCCTCCTCCTCCTTTGATCCCTCCATGCTTCCTGCCTGCCACTTCATGAGCTATTCCTCCTCTGCCATACAGCCCTGCCACCTGGCTGAGAAGCCAGCAAACTATGGACTGAAACCTCTACAAACTGTGAGCCAAAATAAAGCTTTCCTCCTTTAAGTTGTGTCAGGTATTGTGTTTCAGCAATGAGAAAGGAACTAAGGCAGTAGATGCCAATCATCTGGAAAAAGCACTAATTTAAATACACCTTATTCTCCAACAAGGCCAACAAGTTACTTATTTTTGTACTTAAAATGTAAAAATTCAGTTCACAGAGATCTTACCAATATCGATATCAGTAAACCCTTCTGCGCTGATTGCATCCATGGTGCTTTTGTCAATTGTGTCCAGACAGAGACTCGCAAGCTGAGGCTCATCAAATAATCGAGCCTAAACATATAAATAAATCATCATTTTACTTTATTTCACCTTCAAGTGGTACAAAGAACTAACATAAACAATTACAATTGCTATATTATGTAAAAACATCTACTTGTATCTTTATCAATATACTGCCTATTTTTTATACACTGGTTAGTGTGATCCTTAGCAAACCTCCTAGATTAGATAGAAAGACATTATTATCCCATTTCTAGATGAAGAAATAAAGATTCAGAGATGTACACTAACTTGCCTAAGGTCACCTAGCTAGATATGTTGTAAACTCTAGTATTTAAATCTTAACTCTTAGGACCTTCACTAATCTATATCAACTGTCAAGTACACCAGTGCAAAGAGATCAGATTTTTTTTTTTAAACATTTCCTGTTCTGATTGGGAAAGACAGAGGGACTACAAGAATTTTAGAGCATCAGACCTCTGGGAACTTTAGTAAAACCTAGGTCTAAAACAAACAAACAAGCAAACAAAAAACAACCTAGGCCTAACAACACAAGAACAGGTAAGTAAATTCACATGCTGGAATATTATATAACAATGACAATGAATAACTTACAGCTATACACAGTATGGATGAATCCCACAAACTTAGTCATGAAGAAGACAGAATATATATATATAAGAAACAAGAGTAGATATATAAGCATGACTTCCTGCCAAGCTAATTTAGGTATTAGGAAGTCAAGCTTCTAATATGTACTTAATCAATATGCACACTGTAACTCAAAAAAAGGAACTCTAAAAGCAGGGACAACAGATGTCAAACTCAAAAGAAACACTGAGGAAAAGTATAGCAACAGGCATGCCAATCACCAGCCTTACTCTGGCCTGGGTCAGCTCTGTTCCCATCAACAGTTCAGATAAACACTAACTGCACAGAGGCACTCATGTGGACCCTGCAAAATTCTGCTGAGAATACTGCCCAATTAATTAACTACTTAAGTGGCAGCCGTTATTTAGCATGACTGATGGTGGTTCATTTAATTTTTAAGTAACATTCATTCTAAAGGACTTTTTTTTGGGGTCCTGGCAACGGTACTTAGGACTTTGTGCTTGCCAGGCAGTCACTGTGCCATTGAGCTAAATCCCCAGCCCTGGGATTCGGTAATTCAGATGTTAATGAACAGTGATAAGCACCTCTAAACTAAATAGTTATATTTTATAAGAAAAAGGCATTAAATTTTATAATTCACAAGCATAATACACAGATATTTTAAATCAGAACAATTTTTTAGTGACATATCAAGAAATGCTATTGTTGGATTATACACTGAGCCTCTATATTACTTTGTCAAATTGTTAATTTTAGCCATAAACTACAAAACAGTAATAAAATATTAACTCTTTTCATGTAATTTTCCCTTAAAAGTTGCAAAGATAGAAAAAAAAGAAACCCATTACCCAGATTTACCTATCTAAACACTTCCTATCTAGCATTTTGCCCCATGTTTTCTCTCCCTCTGTGTATATATATACATGTATATATACACACACACATTTTTAACATGAATATTAACATGAATGCAATATTATCTAATCTTCTTTCTCAATTACAACTTTGTCATTTGACTCAAATTTGTTTTACAACATTTTTGCTTCTAGTATAGGATTCAGTGTAGGACCACACTTCACGCTTTTTTTCCTTTCTTTTTAGTGGGATTGAATCCACGGCCTTCACACTTCACCTTCCCAGACCTTTTAAAATTCTTTATTTTAAGGCAAGGTCTTGCTAAGTCACTAAACTGCCCAGGTTGAGCTCAGACTTTCAATCTCTCTGCCTCAGCCTCCTGGAATGCTGAGATTACAGGTGTGCAAGACCATGTCTGGCTAGTTCATGCATTTTTAAATTGTAAAAATAACACATTTTTATAAAATCAAAGTCTACTGTTAGTAGATATTTTAGCTGGTACACCTCGACTTTACTTTTGGTTGATATTCACATTAAATTTAAATTTTCAATCTAGAAAAAATTATTTTTTGTAAAAATTACTTTATCCAGAATAGCAACTGTCAGTCAGTCCTTAGGTTATACAGGCAGTATCATGTCCTACTGCTACGTATCTACTACTGCTATGTAAGAATGAAATAAGTCTCAAAATTTTGCCATTACTTCTGATACTACTTCACAGAAAGTGTTTTTCCGCAGCATAAACCACGCTGGTACAGTACAATGGCTTTTGTCTTAGGATGAAGCTACCTGAGCCTTTCAAGTAAATGAACATTCTCAGTTCAAATAACTCACTTGGCAGGAACAAGAAGCTCACATGCCCTCGCCAGTAAAAATGCTGATATACTACTAAGTTCTCAGGCCATCAACACACTGAAACGTTCCTTTTCTTATCACAGGGACACCTATTAAATAACCTTTGCTACAGGATATGTGGTCCACAAATATTGGTATCATCTGAAAGCCAAAAGAAAGGTAGAAATTCAGGCCCCACCCCAAACCTACTGAACTAGAATCTGCATTTTAATTAACAAAGTTCAGTTGAATTTCTGAATTGTATAATTAAAAATATAAAAGTATAAGTGATCTACTCTACATATATTAAAACCCCATGAATAATGAAGATTCTTCTGAATATCAACTTACTAGATTTTTTTTTTTTTAAATACAAGATCTCACTGCATACTTCAGGTTGGCCTTGAACTTACTATGTAGTCCAGGCTGGCATCCAACTTACAGCAATCTTCCTGCCTCGGCCTCCTGACAACTTTCTAGATTTTTATCAAATTATGGCAGGAAAAAAATGCAGGGAGGTAGTACTTATTAGTCACACGGCTTTGGTCAAGTTATTTCACTTCTCTGGACCTCAACACTTAATGGTAATAAGAAAGCCTACATTTCATAAAGTTATTGTAAGGACAAAATGAATTGATGCATACAAAATACTGAGAGCTGCTGCCACAGTGTAAAGATGGAGGGTCACCCAAAGTCTCTTGTACTAAAGCTTTGCTACCCAATGCAACATGTTTGGAGATGGAGCCTACAGATGAACAGACAGGAGGATACTCAACACACCAAAGGAGTGACCTACAGATGAGTCAGAGCTGAAAGGGCCATCGGAGGCTGGGGATTGGATGCAGTAGGTTGCTTGGAATTTGGCAAACCTACACGGCATGCATGTTATTTTGCTTTTCTTTTAAGATAAAAGATGTTAACATATGAGTTTTTTAAAATTAAAAACTCAGTATTTGGGTTTAATTATATCATTTGCACTTTGCAGTAAGTAAGTGAGTTTTGGGTTACAGTTTGGCCATTCATCTCTAAAAGGTTTGCCCTCCCTTTCCTGCTTTCCACACGGCTCTTCCCTTTTCTCTCTGCTTCCTGACTGCCATCATATGAGCAACCTTCCTCAGCCAAGATGTCTCTCCCTCATCACAGGTCTAAAAACAGTGCAGCCAGCCAACCAGGAAATAAAACCTCTGAACCCAAGAGCAAAAAACAAAAAAACAAAAAAAACACCTCTCCTCCTTTAAGTTACTTACAACAGGTATTTTGTCACAGTACTGGAAAACTGACCAATATAGATGCCTGGTACACAACCACGGCCAAAGATATTTTGCTGTTATCATTAGCTAAATGTCTGACATACATGGAGCTCTGTAATTATGTCCAAGAAGTAGTGCCGTCAGCATGTTCTTTCTTCTCCAACTATAAACACTTAACGATGGAAGATTTTTTTTTTTTTTGAAGTATCAAACATAATGAACACTGAGATGGAAACCTGAGCTTTGGGCCCGGCTTCACCTGTTATAAGACTTTGGATAGGCAGTCATTAACCTAATTTTTCTATTTATAAAATGAGACTCATGCTAGTAGTCATCAGTGATTATTTCCAGTATGTACTAAGATTCAACTTGTCTGCAACAAGGTCTCACTATGTTTCTGAGGCTACTCTCTAACTTCTGGGCTCAAGTCATTCTTCCACCCCAGCCTTCTGATAATTACAGGTATGTGCCACATATACTGCAGCACTGCATTAATGCAGAATCTTAAAATCAACTCATGTAAGAGCAATACAGCATTCTAAAAAGAAAAACACTTTTATACCTAAAGAAAGAAGTTCAAATTACAGGCATCTAACAACTGCTAAATAATTAATGTTAAGGACTAATTAGTGGTTCCACAAGTATGTTCAGTTTATTAAAAATCATCAGACTATACACTTAAGATATGTATACTTTTCTGTATGGAGGTCACACTTACTGAAAACTTAGTAAAATTTTTGAAAAGAATATTTTAGAAAAGGCTTTAGGCTTTTTAACTTTTCCAGGAATGCAGCAAGCTTCCAGATTTAGGTACAAAGAGAGTCAAGGTTAGAAAGCTCCTGGAATTTAAATATTCAATCTTTATTCCAACTCCAGCAAAGAGAACAAAGATGTCCAGGAAATTTCACGGTATTAAAAAAAAGAAAGAAATTGCATAGCATAATATTTTTTGAATCCATAAAACTAAAACACAATGCTACAGAGAAAAAAAGTGGTAATCAAGAAAGAAGCATAAGTCTTGAAATGTAAATATGAAACTGCTGGGGACAAAAACAGGGCTAAAAGTGCAAAGAAATTTTCCAGAACAAAGACAATGACAACAAAGACAATGACAACAGGAAATTTCATGGCTTAATATTTTCAATCAAAGCAGAAATAACAATGGCTCTTAATCTGAGCTCCAGTCCTAAGTAGCTATGTAACCTTGAGTTACAGTACCTCTGTGCATATAACGCTTCAGCTTCTTTACCTTTATAATTAAGCACTGTATTAATTCACATTTCTATTTTAAAATTTTGTGACTGATACAGTTCCCTGATAGTTAATGTAAAAATAATATGACTTTAACAACCCAGAATTAATTCTTCACATATACTCAGTCTTTCACATATATATTCACATATACTCAGTCTTTAAGATATAATGATATATACTTTAACTATATTTACTTACCTGAGTAAGTAACATAAAGGCATTATCTGCTCTAAGATGCTTGGTGAGAAAGTCAACACAATGTGCTTCCAAGGCTGGGACAGCATATTTCTTAGCAGTGTACAGAGTGGTCATAACTGTTTCCGGGCCAATTTGAACTTCATCTGAATACAGAAATCTAGAAAGCAATTGGGAAATTTGGAGAGATGATCAGCCCTGTTTTAAATAAGCAATTCATCAGAGCTAAACCTCTGAGGAATTATTTTAAAAGATAATGAACAAACAGAAAAATAATCTGGAATTTGGTGCAGAGTTTGCAGCCTGCAAGGCATTTGTATATACATCATCTCATTTTATTCTTACTGAATCCTGAGAAGTAGGAAGTGTCTTCATTTTACAGAGGAAAGAGATTAACTGAAACATTATGAGCCAAATACACGTCCTGTCTTCATTACTTTTCTCTCGTTGCTGAGACAAAATACCCAACATCCAAAATGAAGGAAGGAAAGGTTTATTTAGCTTACAGTTTGTGGAGGTTTTAGTCCATACTTGGCTGGCTCCGAGGCAGAAGATAGCAAAGCAACAAGAGCAAAGGGGGGAATGGCAGCTGTGAACAGCAAAGCAGCCAGAGCAAAAAGAGGAATGGCAGCAAGCAGCTTCTTGCCTTACATTCTAAACAGACTACCCCCACCTAAGGGGCATGTAGCTCTCACATAATCTCCATGCCCTCCTCTTCCACAGGCTCAGGATGTATACAAAGTAAGCACCCTGGCTTCCTGCTGAGTCACTTAGCCAAACCTCTAGATTCCCCAAGTTGACACAATGTTTCAACCATAACATGTCCCTAAACCAAGTCTTCAGAGTTCTTTTTAGCACCCCAGAGCTGTTAAGGGTAACAGTCCTTCACTTTTTTCTCCTTCTCAAAAGATTTCTAAGTAAGTAATTTACAATTAGCTAAGTCACAGGTATAAATGTTAAAATGCTCATTTGCTGCCTGATAGTAGTACCTTCTTATTCTCGGTACTTTTCAACCTTTACTGTTATCTCAGAATTAGCATAAAGGCCACAGATTACAGTAACCGGGCTTTGCAAGAATAAAGCAATTTAGTAATCCAGTTGGCCCTCCATAACTGCAAGTTCTACACCTGTGGATTCCACCAACTGTGTATCAAAAATACACATTAAACCAGGCATAGTGGCACACATCTGTAATCCCAGCACTTGGGAGGCTGAGGCAGAACATCACTGCAAGTTTGAGGCCAGCTTTGACTACACAGTGAGTTCAAGACCAGCCTCAACTACAAACACAAAAACACACACATTAAAAAAAAAGTGGGTGAAGCAACTTGCTTGGGCTTGAGCCTGCCGTTACTTGTCAGCTATGAGACCTTAGGCAAACTGTTACCACTAGGTGCATATCTAAAAAGATGAGAGTAATAGTACAATACCACCCCCAACACTATGGTGAGAATTAACACACAATGTAGAAAGCATTTTGAATAGCAGCCTGCAAAGAATTAGCCTTAAAAAATGTTAGCTATTTAACTGCAGATGGTATCATTTTTCATGGCTATTATCCTGTGTTCTGGAAGATATCTTTGTACTTTTACCCCTATTTTTGTCCCCAGCAGTTTCATCTTTACATTTCAGGACTTTTGCCTCTTTCTTGATTACCCCTTTTTTCTCTGTAGCATTATGTTTTAGTTTTAGGGATCCAAAAATTTTCTCAAGACTCCAAAATGATTATTTTAAAAGTTCTAAAGTCCTTTCTGTTTCCTTGAATTACCTGCTTGATTGTGTGTGTTAAGTGATTGATGTCTGCAAGTTCAGTGTTCTAATAGCTAATCTGTCTCCAGCTAAAACCATCTCCAAAGGGGACAGGTGTCCTGGGAGCTCTGAGTATGTGGGAAGTTTGCTGACTGGTACCTGGTCTGGGGTCAGGGACCCCACACTGCCATAAGGAAGAGCCTCACCCTGGAATCCCAAAGTCCTATCAGCGCTCCATTTATCTCCAGGGAGTCTGGTTTATTTACAGACGGCACTGTCAGCTGTTACCAGCAGCTGGTTGGGGGATGGTTTATAAGCGGGATTTTAAGTTGATTTTTGCTCCTCTCTTGCCTCTGAAAACCTAGTCTAGACCTTGCTGGGATTCTGTCAGGACCTGCATTCTGGGTTCCAGATGCATCCATCCTATTTCATTCATCAGCAAGCTGCCAACTGCTTTGTCTTTTGTCTACACTGTTGCCCTTCCAAGCCATCCCTTTCTCATCTTTCTAACAGACATTCTTTCATATTTCTTAATAGTCATCTTAATTGGGAGAGTGAGAGGGCTAACTGTGTACTCAATTCCATTCTGAAAGTTGAAACCTATGAAGTTTTTGTTTTAAGAATTAGGTAGAAGTCTTTATACCTGAACTAAGTTAAGTTTTATTACCCTTCTAAGCAAAAATTGCTCCAGTTCTGAAAAAGAGCAGAAATAACGGTGCTTATCACCATTAGCCCTGGTATTTGAGTACAGTCAAACTTAAGGGGACAAGGGCTACAAAGCTGAAGAATGTGGTTCTATGAGAATCTTTATCTGGGGGCCCTGGCTCACGGTGAGCTGGAAAAGCTTCTCAGGGGAATTTCTGACAAGATCTGAAAAATAAAAAGTGGATGGGAAGAACATTCTCAGAACAGGAGAGAATGGAGTTTTTAGATCACTCTCTATGAGACTCTCCCATTCAAACTGCTTTCATTAAATTACACTTTGGGTTTATATAAAGGAACACTTTTAAGAAACCTGTATACTCAGGGGCTGAGGATTTAGCTCAGCAGCACAGCGTCTGCCTGGCAAGCACAAGGTCGTGAGTTTGATTCCCAGTACCGGAAAAAAACAAAAAAAAAGAAATAAAAGAAACCTGTATACTTAAAGACATAGATTAAAAATAGTGTTCATGGGGCTGGGGATTTAGCTCAGCAGCACAGCACCTGCCTGGCAAGCACAAGGTCGTAAGTTTGATTCCCAGTACGGGAAAAAAACAAAATAAATAAATAAATAAAAGAAATAAAAGAAACCTGTATACTTAAAGACATAGATTAAAAATAGTGCTCATGGGGCTGGGGATTTAGCTCAGCAGCACAGCACCTGCCTGGCAAGCGTGAGGTCGTGAGTTTGATTCCCGGTACCAGAAAAAAATAAAATAAAATAAAATAAGAAGTGTTCATTATAGTACAATCTTATTTATAATGGGGCTTGTCAGGAGCTTTGCCTTTTTACTGGCCTAATGATGAGATAGAGCAGTACATCTTCTAAAGCACTTATTTGTTTTTAATCTTATAAACACCATGAATTATAACTGAGCAACCCAGTTCTTGCTTTGCATTGCCATTAAGAAATTAAAATGAAGGACACAACTTGCCCACACCATACACTTTGTATTAACTAGCTTCACTCTTGCTTCTATTTTACTTCTTCCCCTTGTGTTTCTTGTAAGATATTTTAAATTATTTTTTAAGCAGTGAAAATTAAAATAAACTCTGGATTATAAACAATAAGATCTGCTTCTTGCTTCTTTTTTTTCCCCCTATGTCTTCCCTATAGTACTAGGCACAGTGTGAACACTTATTTAAGTCCTAATAAATATATGTGAACAGACTAGATGATTCAGTATAGGTTTCTATGCAACACTGATAAGGAAATTACTTCCATTTGTAATAAAAAAATACTTAAAATCCAAGACTCATTTTGGTTCATATTTTACTTACACGTTCTCAACATTGTATTGAATTATGAGAATTTCTTTAATATAAAAGAGAACTAAACAAGCCAAGATTTGCAAAATATAATTAAAATTGAACACATGACATTACCACAATTTTTTTTTTTTGTACTGGGAATCGAACTCACGACCTTGCACTTGCCAAGCAGGCACTGTGCCACTGAGCTTTACCCTCAGCCCACCACAACTTTTTGTATTTGAAAGTGATTGTGTAAGTTCTCTCATACAACTTCCAATGATAGGAGCACAATAAAATGATTATGTCATTGAACCAATCCTGTTTTCTCCCCAAAGGTGTTTTTCCAAAAAGAGAAAATTCAGGTTGAATTTAACCTAATTTAAGTTTTTTAAAACTAATGTGAAAATTTGATTTCATATTAGAAAAAAACAGAGAATCATGTATGAGGATCTTTGACTCCAGGCTCAATTCCCAGCACCACCAAAAAAAAAAAAAGGTGAGGAACTATAAAGTATATTATCAGGCATTGTGATGGATCCTAGATAAACTTACATGGGTAGTATAGCTTTGGCTATTAAAAAAAACTTAAAAGACTTTGATAATGAAATGATTAAAAACCAATGTCCTAATGGTAACAGAAATATTCATTAAGCACTACTATATAATAACTAATTTCTTGGGGGCAGGGGATTTAGCTCAGCAGCAAAAGCGCCTGCCTGGCAAGCACAAGGTTGTGAGTTCGGTTCCCGGTACCGGAGAAAAAACAAAAAACAAAAAACAAAAAAAAAAACAAATTTCTTAAGATGCGCCCAAGAAGTCATGCCTTCTAGAATTTATGCTGTTACACAGATTTGTTCCCTAAAAATCTGAGCTGGCTAAGTGTGACTCCCTTTGACCAACAGAACATGGTGCTATCACACTGCCAGTCCACGGCCTACACCAGAAGGAGGCTTAGCAGCTCCTGCTTATATGCTTTCAAGGGAACCACTGGCCAAGGGATCAAGCTACTCTGCTGAACAGACCTGCTGCACAAGGCCTGTGGAGAGGACCTGAGACCACAAAGGAAGAGGAAAACACTCAGCCACCCTGGATCTGAGTCTAACCTCCAGATGACTCCAGTCCCAAATGATACCTGGTACAGCTGCATGAGAAACCAGAAAGAGGCCACACAAACAATCCAGGTGATCCCAGTAACCCACACAACTGTGAAAGATAATAAAGCCCTTGTTTAAGCCACTAGGTGTTAGGAGTGGCTTGTTCTATGGCAACAGAAAACCAAAACATGCTGGGAGATATTAAATGAGCCAGTGCACAATTCTGCTTGTGGGTAGAATTAAGTGATGTTGTATAAAACAGGTAAAGCCTGAAGGTACCTGAAGAGTACTAATTACCTGTGCAGATCTTCTAGGCATAAAGACTGTAGTGGAAGTGAGAGGCCTTGAAGGCAGCCATTTAAACAAGCCCATCAGGATTGAGACCAGAGTGGACGGGAAGGGAGGGAAGAAACACATCAAATCACAAAGCTTTCCCGAACCTGTAAAGTGTTTAAACTTTACCCTGTAGGCAAAAAGAAGCCATTAAAAGAGTCAGGGAAAGCATGAGTAGGTAACTATTAATAGCATGACTGGAGAGTCTACAGACAGAAATCTAGCTAAAGAAAGGCAGGAAAAAAAAAAAAAAAAAAAACAGGCAGAATAGAATCCTCCAGAATGGTCCAAAAGAATGAGCAATCTGTAGAACAGACTGGAACTAAACTACAACTTGAAGCCAAGCCAGTAAGTTACTTCCCAGCTGACCACAGTGTCACAAACAAGAATATATTATGAGTGTGTTTTTAAGCCCTGAGTTCTGGGGTTCCTTACTTATAGCATTATTATGACAAAAGCTGCCTGATATGGTGATATTATTGTGCGCCTGCCTCTAAGGACTGTTCCAGAATTTAAATGAGTTTACATAAGGTGCTCAGGAACAGTAAACAGCAAACAAGGAGCACTCATTAAAAAAAGACCTTCTTATTAATGACATGTCCATCTGCACGGCTACTGGACATTCTTTTGTGAAGTTCCAGGTAGATATGAGGGTCTGAAGGGGAGTAGAGTCCTGGGCACTGAGTGGGAGCACGTAATGCCATGCAACTGGTGGAGAACAGACGTAGCAGTGCAGGACACCATGCTAAGAAATAAGTTACTCCTTGATTCCTTCCAGCCACCCCTCATTTTTCTGTTCCCCTATGCAACAAAACTCCTAAGAGCATTGTTTATACTAGCTGTCCCCAGTTCCTTATCTCCCATTTTCTCCCCAGTTTACTTCAATCAGCTGAAATTATTTTTGATAGTTATCAATAGCTCCCATCTCATCAAAACTAATAATCAGCTCAACGTCATTTTACTCAACTCTCAACAGCATTTAGCTACCCCCTTTCCCTGCTTGCCATCATTTTCCAATCCCTCTTTCTTGAAACACTTCCTCTGGCTTCATCTTGATGGTGCCATACTCCTTGCTTTCTCTCCTAACTGCACTGACAGATGCCCCATTCATTTCCTGCTCTCCTTCCTCAGCTACATCTATACACAGTAAAAGACCAAAGGGCTCCTCCTTGTACGTCTTCACGATGTACCCGCCTCCTTCTCAAGGTAATCTCATCTGGCCTCATTGTTTACATATCATTAATCTTAACTTTCAAGTTTACATTCTATCAGAAGCTCTTCCCTAAAGCTCACATTCAAATCTGTCTATTCTACATCCCTACTTCAATTTTTGGTAGCCCTCTTTATTCCTCCTTTAAAATGTGTCCAGATTTCACCACATCCTTTGCTACCTCCCCATACAACTCTCCAGCATCTCTTGCCTGGACTAGTGGGACAAGCCTCTTAATCTATCACCCTGCTTCCTATTTTCCTCCCCCTGCAGTCTAATCTCCAAACAGCTGCCAGAATCAAGTATATAAATTATAAATCGGATCACAGCACTCCCTTCTTCAAAACCCTCCACAGGATTTCCCTTGCATACCAGATGAAGCTCAAAGCCCTGCCTCAGTCTCTGAAGCCCTGCCTGGCCTCTTTTTGATCTCATCTCTGCTTAAATCACACCCGAATTACTCTTGCAGTTTCTCCAGTAGGAGTAACTTAGGACCTAAAACATGCTTTAGAATGCTCCTTCTCTCATGGCTTGATCATTTTTCTTCAAAACATTCATCACTATTTGACATTATACCCAAGTTTTGCTTCACTAGAATATGCATTATGGCTGAGACGTTCTTGTTTGCTCCTGTGCCCCAAACCCCCAAAACAGAGACTTGCACATAGTATTTGTCAAAGAACAACCGAAGAGCATCATTCTGAGGTCGGTTCCTCAAACCTAAGTTCAAAAGCCACTACGTCGTATTTATTAATTCAAATTGTACACACAATAAAAATACGCCCCAGTAACTCTGCTCTTCCAATTCAGCAAGTAACCTATCAAACATCTTTTTGTCCCACAATATTAGGTAAGTACAGCATCTATATTTCACAGGCGGCAAATCTCTAAGTTTAAAAACCAGACTGGATATCGATTTCAGAATACAACAATGATCAGAACATAAAGAAAGATGAGCACCGTGAAAATATAATATACTAAAATTAGAAAATGAGAAATCAAATTGCACTGTGCTACATTTCAAGGACTCTAGAATTAAGTTCTATTAAGGGGAGAGGATTAGCCTTAGTGAAAATATGAAATACATGTTTTTCCTCTCATTCTATCTAGCAGTCTCAGTCTTTTTTTTGTCGAAGAGAAAGACACCTAGCAGTATTTTTTGAACAGTGATTCTCAGATTTAACCAATGTAAGTATTACTCCAAGAGAGTACTAAAAAATGTTCTCAAGGTCTCGCTCCAAACTTGATACTATAATGAGATGGGACCTTACACTTAACAAGTACTCCTGTAAATCACAACGCCTTTGGCCCACAGATCATTTCTAATCTTGAAAATTTAAGGAGCTACACCCAATCCTCCTAGTCAACCTTCAACTAAAAACCAAAATGACCTGTTTCCTACTTCTAAGTTGCTTTTTTCTCCTTATAAATGCAACTGAATTGAATTACAGAACAGATGGGATACACAAAGGGAAAAGAATCAAAAACAGGCCCCATCACCTTACCACACTAACATCCCTTGGCTCGGCATTCTGGGGTCTTCCTCTCCCCTTGCCTCTAGGTATACAATGCTGATTCGGTTCCATTTCGCAGTTGCAGTCATGGTGCACATAATTCCAAAAGATATTTGCCAAATACATTTTACATACCATTACCTGGTCTTCATCTAAGTACCACATTCAATGACAGCATTGTTTTCCATCAAGTGGACTTACTATTTCTCTCATCTTTTCCTATATATGCAGCTGCCTTCCTCTGTATAAATAATTCCGCAGTAAATGTTTTTGTACAGAACTTTTCTTCAATAATAGATTGTTTCCTGAGTGTAGGGAAAAAACCCAGAGCACCAAACTATTTTCCAAAGGGAAAATCTGTCAGAAAATACCCCCCAGATGTTATCTTCAAAACTCTGTTGCGTTAGCAGAAGGGAAAAAGTACCTCATTGTTTTAATTTCCACTTCCTTATTCACCAATGAGGTTACACATCCTTTGCATTTTTCCTTTCCTAATTACCTACCCTGTGGGTCCTTGGCATTTATTTCCACGTGTGTGAACTTCCTATTTAATTTCCTTCTGCTCTTCCTGAGCAGTGAGCCTGTGAACTATCTATTCCGTCCCACTGACCTGCCCGCTTTTGCTTCACGATTACTCAAGACTCTGCTACTCTGAAAACAGCTTTCTTCTCGGACCTCCAAACCATCGCGGTAGAGACACAAGGTCTTCCGGGAGTTGGCAGTCCACCCGGCAGTAAGGACTGGACTGCAAAGGTCAGCAGTGCCACACTCCTGCTCCCTCCCGCTCCCGCCGAGCGATGCCCATCAGCCGTCCTCCACCAGCCAAGACGCAAACTCCACCGCCCGGCGGCCGCAGCTCCGAGCCCCTCACCGCGCGCTCCCAGCCGCAGGCGGAGCCACCCGCCCCGTCGGGCCGCCGCCGGCCGTGTCCCGCCCCGCGGACGCCGGGGCTCTCCCCGCGGCGCGCCCCGGGTCCCCACCTGAGCAGCGCCAGGAAGGCGGCGGGCTCCACGTCGGGCAGCTCGATCTCGGCCGACGTGGTGGCCATGCCGCCGTTGAACATGGCGTCGAAGACGGCGCTGCCGGCCGCCAGCACGAAACGGTGCGCGGGGATGCGCTGCGGGCCGCCCGCCGCCCCGCGGCCCTTGCCCAGCACGAAGCGCACGTCGCTCAGCAGCTCCGAGTTGAAGAGGAAGGCGAAACGCTCCTTCAGCGACGCCTTGGTCGCCTGCCAGTTGTACAGCGGCTCGCGCTGCAGGGGCGGCGGCGGCGGCGGCGGCGACACCGGAGGCCCGGGTTCCGCCTCGCTCCCCGGCGCCGGCTCCCCCGC